CGTCGTGCTTTGTGGCCCTGTTATTTTCAACAAAAGCACTCAACTGTGCATGCCTTTTCTTTTGGCATATTTATGCTTCTCTGCGGGAGATTAAGGAGGCAATTTTCAAGAAGATCATGTTTTTGAGTCGTTTTGTTGCAAAATGGAAATAATTGTCCTGTGATGAAGACAGACTGCTAATAACGGCTGCTTTTGCATTTACAGAGGAGCCCCCATCTCACCCAGCGAGCTGTTGTTGAGGACACTCTCCAGACACTTGACCATGGCCTCGATGTCACTGTCCTGGAGGTGAATGAGATAAGGAACAGTCAGTGTGCACAGACCAGAACGCTGCACAGGGGGTCCCGTCCCCCAAACACGCGGGTCCCTGGGGGGTGGCAGCAGTGAGTGAGTGGCACCCAGAGGGCATGGAGGGTGCCCAGCCCTCCGGGGAGGTCCCAGCAGGGGGGGTGCAGCTGCCTCTGCTCCCAGCCCGACCCCCCAGCAGCGCCTGGCTCCCCTCTCCATGGAAGAGGGGCTGCACCCCACGCCAGGGCACTGCTGCTCAGTCTGTCCTGGCACCTGTGGGTGCCTCATATGGCCTGGAGAAATAGCTCAGATCTCTTCCTGCACTGTGCACCCCAGTGTGGTGTTCAATGAGGTGACTTTTCTGACCCCATGCTACTGCCAGAACATCAGAAATGTTTTTAATCGTTGTCTGAAGTCATGGGGTCAGCAGGGAGCACTGCCAGCTGCAGCATTTCTGCACTCTGCACAGCAGTAACTAGTAAAGCAATCCTGGCATTGCAAAATTCAGAGATTTGCACAGGTCAGGAAGGTAAAATATTTTACAAGTACCTACCCTGTGTTGCAGTGGAGCAATTATTTTATTAGCACACACCTTCAAAAGCTTAATTTATGAAAGTATTTTTGAAGAAAGTGTTTAAGAGTATGAATCCCACCACAGAAAGAGGAGTAGGAATTTTGGTATTAATGAAATGACTACAGAAGCAAACCCCTGCTACATACTAGCAAGACCAAGTCTATTCTGGTAGGATTTGAGGCTTTTTATTAATGCCGAGCATGATCCCACCTAAGTTTGAGTGGGCTTCATCTCACATAACCACTACATCCAGAATTAAGACATCCCATGCATGCTAATAACTGTAGCTCCCTTTATCATCACCAGAGACCTCCGCAGCACACCCCACCCAGATGTTGTTAGACGTTTACACACAATACCATTATTCCCTAAAAATGCTTGCTTACTTCCCCCTTACTGGGCAGCCTTTCTGTTCAGCCAGTTCAGAGTTAAGGGTCCAGATCTGCACAGCCAAGTTCAGTGGGCTTTGACTTTGCAGTTACTGCAGAACTTTTTGCTTAAGAAAGGGAGCACTGAAAATGACGCTGAGCTCCCAGGACCAGGCAATGGCATCACTACCCAGACACACACTGCTGCTTTGCCTGGGGTGCCACAGCCAGCGTGAGACAAAACACAACCACACCATTAGCTTCTTGGGTAGAGGAAGTCCTGAAAGGCAGATGGTGCACCTAATTTACCCTGCATTATTGAGAAATCTATTTTTATCTTCTGCCTTTTGTTAGTTCTAAGCGGCGGTCTGCCTGTTCAAGCACACTGCTGATTGACACCTACTGATACTGTCAATGGAAGTTGAATGAAAATTTTAAAAGGCATTCTAAAAAGGAAAAAAAAAATCTCAGAGCCTGATGAAAGTGAGCAATAAATTATTTTCAAGAGTATCTTGTGGCAGACTTTCTGGGCAACAGAATGTTTGCATGTCTGTGTGTTGTGGGTAAACACAGACCCAGCAAACTGAAAAGAAAACATTGTCTTAGATATTCCACTGATTTACAACTGACTAATAGTTTCTTTAGATCACTACTGTATAAACTGGCCCTGGATTTTAAAGCCTCTGTGTGCTTGGTTTGAAAGCTAGGTGGACTTTTCTAGATTGAATGAAGCTGTTTTTGAGTAAACTTCAAGTTTAACTGGTGAGACAATTCCAGGAGTCCCTGCTACCATGGCAGAAGTAGGGTTCTGATTTGTCACAAAAATATTTTATTTTTGCCTTAAAACTACATCTTAAGGAAGCTCTCAGTCCAAAATTTTCAAAAATTAGTACAAGTTCTTTCTAGTGAAGAATATTGGTATACTTGCTTGGTTCCCTGAACTGCAGGAGACATCACACTCTGTTCTGCAAAGCTGGCAGGTGAACCCAGAATGACACCTACGATGCTGAGGCAGAACCCGAGCAGGGCTCAGGGGCACTGCACCCAACCCCTGATGCTGGGGGCCCAGGGGAGAAATAGATTGTTTCTGAGTGCCTCAGGAAGATCCATTTTTGAAACTGACTTGGCCATTTAAGTTCATTGATTTCACTGAGTCCTCATCACTGCAGACAAGATTCATCTCAGTGCATTTGGATCAGATCTAAATTAGGTGCCTTTTCCAATAACCTTCAACCTTCTTCATGCTGCAATCCCTACGATTCTCTTGTGGCAGCCTCACCTGATAAAGCTACTTTAAGCCTTTCAATAATCAGTCTTCTCTTCACTGACACCACCTGAGATTCTTGGGAAAGCCTGCAGATTTGCTGGTCAAGTCCTGCAGTTGTTTGGGCTCATAGTTCATCATGCTATCCTAAAAAAATACATCTAGCCCAGGCAGGAAGAAGTGGCAACGAGAGGTGCCTCTCTCTGCCTGGGAGTTAGAGCTGGAACTTGGATCTCATGCTTGAAATACACTGTCAGCTTTAATGTACCCACAGCTGACACCTGAGAGAACACCACTCTGAGTGTTTTACGGGCACAAGGAAGTTTTACTGACAACAATTCATCTGACAGCATTTGTGGGAGTGTAAAGAATCTTTCTCATTAATGTTTCAGAGAATTCCATATGCATACGTATGGAATTAATTCATGATATTGACATACACATTCCTTGCAAAAACAATATTTCAGTAATGTCAGTAGGACAACGTCTTGGAAGAAGCTTCATTTTCCCATGGGAAGTGAGCACAAGGTGCATACTGTTCTCCCAAAGCTCACGTTACCTGGTGATTGGTCTCAGAGACAGTCTGTGATGCTTCCACATCCTCCTCCGCTTCACTGCCTTCTGAATAGGATTCAAACTCATCATTATAATATTCTTCTGCAGTTTCTGGGTCTTCAGGGATTTCTAAAGGCAATTTCGATTTATTACTATCACAAGTTTTAGAAATAGCCACGAGTGCAATATTAATACAGCCAGTGAGCCCATGAAGTACAACAGCTGTTAAAACCCGGCGTCTGTCGCAGCAGGAAAGGCTCCCCAGGCACCGTGCTCGGGTGGAAGCCTCTGGCACCCCAGCCCCCCAGGTGTGGAGCTGCCTCTGCCTCGGGGGGCTGCCCCTGCCACCACAGGCACCTCAGCACAGTGGGGCTTGAAGCAGAGGCTGGACTGTGGTGGCTCTGTGAATAAAAAGCAGAATTCCCACTTTTCCAGACAGAAAGCTGCAAGGTAAAGAGCTGCCAACGGGAGACTGGACTCAGTGGCAAGAGGCTGGGTGGGAAGAGGAGGGAGCACTGAGAGAAATTAATTTCAAACAATACGACATTAAAAATGCTTAATAGAATTTTTTTTAACAGCTTTTTTCACATGCATAAAAAACTCAAAGGGATATAAACAAGGGAATACAATCAAATTCCATTAAAAGACATTTGAGTTCTGGCAAGGGGAATTAATTCTAATCTTTAAGGTGTAGAAAAGATAACTGAGGGGAAAAGTAAAAAATTATTTATCTGCAGCACCAGGTGGTTGAAGCTCTCCTGTTGAGATATGATCTCTATAATCTCTTGTCCCCAAAGTATTTTTAAAAATACTTCTTTTTTCTATAAAGTTGATTTAACTCCTTAATGCTGACACATTTTCAGTCAGGTTTCTCTGTTTTACAATATTTATGGAAGCTGCAAAACAGCACCATGCTCCACTGCCACAATTTTTAGTCCTTCCTATTTTTCACCTTAGTTTGAGAGGAAGAAAAAGCCAAAGGGGGCCAATAGATGCCTGTGTTACGTGCATGCCAAGACACCAGGCAGAGCAGGAACCCTCACCAGCTCCTGGGGTCCCTAACGTCCCTCTTTAGATGTCTGCCTATACAGCAACATGACTCCAACAGGGGAAGGAAGGACAAAAAAACCACTATCTTAAAAAAAAAAAAAAGAAAAAAAAAGAAACAACAGCACAGTTAATTCCTAAGAAGACAAGCTATGCAGAAAACAAAGGACCTCAATACTTGTAATATTCTGCTCAAAACCACCAAGAGCTTGTTTCAGGTAGCATAGTAACTTGGCAACAACAACAGTTTTCTCCAAAGAGATGAAAATATTTTGATAAATATCTTTAATTTTCTCTTGCCTTGAAGTCCTACTTATAATAGGTGCATTGACACATCATTCTCACTTCCAATGTGTGCAGAAGGCAATAAGTAAGGCCATTTTATTTAAAAAAGGAGAAGAAGAAAAAAGGAAAACAGAAAAGTATAATGCACATCCATTTTCACCACTTGCATTCATGGCAACAAAGCCACACTTGGCTCTTGAGGACCATTGTACTTTTTTAATCCCAAGGCTTCACTGCACCTCTGGAAACAGGCAGATTTTCTCAGCTGTTGCCTTCCCATCTGAAGGGGAAAATGCTCCAGCTCCACGTGGTTACAGCACTCCTTGGTCTGCACAGTGCTACAGACTGCAAGGCAGGGGCCAGTCATTAACTGCTCTGACAAACAGCCTAAGTCCAGTCTGACATCAGGAAACACATTTTCCTAATGAGTGATCCAATACTGAAGCAGGGATTATAGGAGCTGTGAGAGCTCAGTCCTTGGAGGTGTTTGAGGCTTGACCAGACACAGCCCTGAGCACCTTGCTCTGAGCAGCCCTGCTCTGAGGAGGCAGCTGGAGCAGACTGCCAGAGGTCCTTGTGACCGAGTTATTTTATGGTTCGGTGCTTACAGGATGCTCCACAAACAAACAGGTTAGAACTACCCCAGACCTACTTGTGTGTGTTTATCACACACACTGGGAAGCTAAGCAGAAGACTTCCCATTCCTGTGTGCCCCTGCAAGGTGTGCACAGCCACAGGAACCACCGGTGAGCAGGGCCAGGACATCAACAGAGAGGGAAAACCTGAGGAGTGACACCTGTCAGAATGCAATCCTGAAGGAGGAATTCCACTCTGGAGGAGAGCAAGGGCTCTGCACCCCTCTGCAGTTCAGCTCAATACTCATATGATTAGGAAAAACAAGATAACTCCATTATTATAATTTAAGCTCACTCACATTGTTTTGCGTTTGTTTATTTTGTTGTTGGTTTTTTTTTTCCTTTTTCCAGGAAAAGACAAAAAACTTCAAATTTAAGTTTCCATTGAAGACAATCACAATCCCTTGGTCAGCTACAGACAACATACACGTTATTAAGCTTTGAAAGCTCTGTCATTGTGCAGAAAGTCAGTGGAAGCTTTTGTCTGGCTCTTCTAAACTAGGCTGAAAAAGACTCAGAAAATGTGTTTAAGAAATGAACTAAGGATGTAACAGGATTTTTGTGCCCATCAAAGTCTTGCACGATCCTTTTGGCTAAGCACAAAAGGACTCTGAAGCCATTAAAAGAATTACCTTCTGACATGGCCATATACAGCATAGAGGTAAAGTAAAATGGGTTGCTCTAAATGAGAACTAGAAATAGAACCAAAGTTAAATATTAATATTTTATCAATCTCCTTTTAGCATTTTAAAAAGGAAAAAAGCTTCAATTCACTTGTGGGCTTCACTGAGTGATGATTTACCTATTGTGAAATGTCTAGGAAAAATAGAGATAAAGGGGATGTAATTCAGAGTAGCCTTATGGGGATCTTCCACTTGATGTTAGAAAGAAAGTAGCTAGTTTCAAAATGTTTTTCCAATAAAAAAATTACTTTTATTAACCAAAATCAAATTTCTAAGAAAAAAGTTTTCTTTTATTTGAAAGACATGGTTCTCTTCCCCAAACTTTCCACCTCCCAGTATTTTATCAGTATATACAGAGACAAAGGATGAGAAGAAGGAAAAATGCTAAAAAGAGCTGTTAGCAAAACTTTGCCACATTGTCCCCCTAATTTTCTGAGTGGGTTGTTTGGCTTTTTTTTTCCTTCTGATTTTCTGATTGCCACGTGTACAGAGATGGGAGCTCTGGTAGGCAGTGACAATGAAGATGAAGCCATGCTGCCTTTCAAGGATGGTTTAAAGTTTAGAAAATCCAAAAATTTCCCAAATAGTCAGAAATCCTTTTAGTACCGAAGGGTGAAGGAGAAAGAGCACTGCAGTGGGGCAGCCCTAGCAGGCAGCACTCAGGGAGCCCTGCAAGCCTGGGCTTTATGGACAAAGAGCCCCCACGACTGCAAAGGTTGCCCTATGATTTGCACAGTTTCCAGAAGGAACAGAACAAGAGCTGAAAATTAAAGGGGAGATGACCATGAAGCTAACTTACGACATTCCTTCAAAGCTACCCTAGTCCTTGTGTTATTTTAAACTTTTTTGATCAGTCAGAGCCTAGTTTCAAATAAAGCCTCTGTTTTCCTGCTGGATCTGCCCCAGGCTGCCAAACAGCCTCCCTGCCAGTCTGACGACAGTGCTGGGAAGGAAAGAGTCCACATGTTAATACAAAAAGCTGCCCCCTCAGAGAGTCACTTCCTCCTCTCTGAGATTTAGTTCAAGAATGCCATTTTCAAGACATAAATTTGGGACATTTTCACAACCCCAAGTTACTGAAAGAGCAGAAAACAACCAGGACCAGCTCAGACCCAAGGACTGGGTGTAAGCAGTTGTGTGTGTGAGAGTCTGGATGTGACCAGGACATAAAACATGTAATCTGGAGATAAGCAGCAGTGGAAGTTATACACTGAACAAGTACAAAGCCAAGTACATTATTGTAACCATGCAAATCTTTGAAAAAAGTATGGAGACCTTAAACACCAAGATGAAATTACCTATTTAGTATTTAACTTATTAACAGTTTAACTGCTTACAACATATTCAGCAGATGGCAGAGGCACTCTGCTCCGTGGAGCAGATAAAACAGCAGAACATAATAGAGAATAGAACAGAGAATGTAAACCAAGATCCTCATTGCTGCCCCCTGCCCATTTTCTCCAGCTAGCTGTCTGAAAACCAAGCTGGTAGAAACTGCAAACTGATTCACTATCTACAGCTACTTTCTGAGCAAATTCTACCTCACTCGCAACTGGCTCCAGCTTCTTCCATCACCCTATACTTTGGCCCAGCTCCCCAGAAATGCTGTTTAGTTTGGTAAGGGAGACAGAAAACTGCAACTGGGGGCTGGGCTGGGGTTCCTGACTGGATGTCTCCCAGCACCAGCCTGCTCCCAGAGGCTTTGTTTGCAGGTACATGCCTGCTCCATCTGCCTTTACATGATCCTAACCCTCGAGTCTGAACTGCAGTGTGAAGTTATATTCCCCATAAGCAGGACAACTTGCAATAAAAGTTAGTGTCTTGCTAAGGAGGATTTCAAACACTGAAATAATCTGAAAGTCTCTGCTATAGAATCTAATGCAGAGTATTTTTTTGTACCTATACACTTGGTGCATTTGCTTCTAATTGCTTCCTAAATTCAAGCAGTGTTCTGTACAGGTTTTTACCATGATGGTTTGGCAGGAGTGAAGGGACTTCCTGAGCAGGTTTTAAGAAGACTTGGCCAGAATAATTTTAACTGTAGTCATTGACCAAGGTGAACTTTGAGGTAGGCTCTATTTATCAATGCCAAACTAAATCAGTACGATAATAGATCAGAAAAATTAGGAGCTATAAGAATTTGCTCTCCCCACACTTTCAAAGTGTTTGGGGTTTTTTATGTAACTGCTGTGTAAAGACTTCACTCTGCAAGCTTCCCCCTGTGAAGCTCTAAGAGCAAGACTTCTTGTCAGAAGTAAGCTGTGAAAAGACTGAAGCAGCCAGACATACCAAACAGCAGAACACAGCTTTGGAAAGGGCTTCCTGAGGAGGGTGTGAGGAGAGTTCAGCTCCTGGTGGACTTCAAATAAGCTAAAGGATTTGAGTAAAAACTTGAAGATAATGGACAATCCATATAAAACTCTAGCTAGAGGTTTCTGAACTACTGTAAACACTGGACTCTGAAATGGCATAAATGGCATAAAATTACCAAGAATATTTCTTTAATTCTATGGTTGGCCTCATGGAAGAAGGGTTTAAATGGGCATCTATAACCAAAGCAAGAAACCAGTTCTCCAAGGGCAAAGGGCAATACTTCAAGGGAATAACTCCTTAAACAAGGGGAATAATGCTTCAGTGAACTGGGAGGGGAAAGAAAAGAGGGGGGGGAAGCGAAGCATTGATTAATTTTCCTCTTTGTGGCTAAAACTGGCAAGCTTTGTTAAACCTTGCTTTTGCCAGACTAAATCAGTTTTACTATTGAAAACCAAAGCAAGGCACAATGTTCCCAGGAGCCTCTGAGCTGTGTGGCTGCATGCACGACCCTGTTTTGGAGGGTTACTCAGCTACCCAATCAGGACACACAACTTCCATTTTACAGGCACTACACAAAGCATGCATGTGCAGAGATGCTTAAGGATGTGCTCAGAAATACCACAGGCTTTTAACCTTGCAAGATTTTATAAAATAACCTGAAAATACTTCAAAGGAGCATGTAAAAATAACAGAGTAGAAAAAAAACCACAGTATTTTATAATGAGTGAACATTTCCTATTTGATAGTCAGCTGAACTTTGCCCACTTGAAATTCAAAGCAATATATCCATAACTTCCCATTAGCAATGGAAATGCAGCAATAATGTATGCAGTCACTGTGAGGTGCTTGCTTAGTTTGGAATTGTAATGAAATCAGGGGGTTGCCAGGTGCAAGGTATTACAACATACTAAGCTAAGGAATTCAACATGAACATCTTTGCAGTATACAGGAATAAAAACGTGTATAATACAGATCAGAGAGATCATGTAATATGTCCCTTTAATTTATGTGCCTTTAATTTTTATATTATTTTTCTGTACAAAGAATTGCAATACCACAAGTCGTTAGCTGAAGCTGTTGTGCCCCCTCCCACACACAAACATGTCCATCAAGAGCAGAGTAGCAGCTTTGCAGACCTGGGGCTTTTACAGAAATGGATGTGGACACAGCTGAAGCCCCAACTAGCAACATGCTGGCCATCCAAAAATGCAAGATACAGCATTTTATTGGTGGCCCTAAGGTCCAGTGTTGTTTTGGTGTGTTGTCTTTTTCATTTCAGGCACTTAAGCACTGCAAGAAGGACAAGTCCTTGGAAATAGGGATCATTTGCATAGAGGAGTTCTTAAAACCTTAACAAAAAATAAAATCTTCCCCACTCTTGTTTACCATGTCCCATCAGCTGTGAAATTGATGTGAATATAAACTGGCACTCTCAGCCACAGATGCCAGTGTGTGCTGTTAAGTTTTCCTGCCTGCTGGACTGTGGCTGAGCTGAACACTCCTTACAGCTCCTGTCAGAAGTGTGGGGCTGGGAGTGGAGACAGCTTCCAACCCAGCACCTTCCAGCTGGAACAGCTGATCCAAACCAGAAGGATCAAAGGTGATGGGAAGGAAATGGTGGGGTTTGTGGCATCTGTAATTGCACTGAGCTATCTGGAAGCACTTTTAGACACAGTTTATGATTTTGTATCCAATTTCAAGGCAAGTTCTAGTGTAGAAATTGAATCAGAAACCTTGAACATTTAGCTATTACAGTTGTATAACAGGGTTATGACTTGGCTCTTCAGGCTTTTTTCAACTGCAAAGACTGAGCTCCTCTACCTAGAGGATGGTCTATGTAGTAAATTAGGAAACTTCAGATATTCCACACTAATTTCCTGCATGGATAAGTGCAGTGCAGGCTGTGCTAAAGACTCCCCTGGATTCTTTACAGGTAAGCCCCCATAACTAGTGTTTCCCTTGTATTAAATACCTCTGCAAACTTTAAGCCAGTCAATAGGATTCAAGTTGTACGCAGAGTTGAGAGGCACTAGGCTGTAAGATCTGGCTTCATGAGAAGACACTGTAACCAAAGCAAAAGGACCTGCACTCAAATAATTAACGTGCTGTAGTGACAGAGCTGCAGTTTTCCAGCCTTCCCAGCCCCGTGTGTGGCAGCCCACACAGAGGAGCCATGGTGGTCTACCATACTACACAATCCAGGGAGAAGATGACCCTCAGCATCCCAAACTTCTCTCAATATCCAGCTCTAATTAGACATGCAGGACATGCATGGCTGCATTGGAATGTTTAAAGAAGAGTATGAATCTTGCATACAGTAAGTAACAGCTCTGACATCAGCTTCAGGAATAACGAGGTGTTCACAAAGCAAGGAGTAGAAACCAGGTAATTCCTCCTGCCTATCCACAAGGCCTTTTTGTCATGAACCCAGCAGCTCAGTGTCAGAGACTGGCAAAAGCAGTTAAATGCATTCAGTGTTGGACAATGGTCTGACCCAGCTCATGCATCACAGATATAAACGCACTCAGTCTCTGTATCACAGCTTAACAGCTCAACGACCTCTACAGGCAGAAGCAGCAGCTCCTCTCCTCCCACGTGTGCTGTTGTGATCCTATTTGGGTACCTCTGGACCCTGCTCCGGGTCCCTCTGCCACCCACAGCTGCTGCCTCCCTCCTCCTCTCTGCCAGCTCCCCGCCCGCGCCCCAGGCTGCACTGCCAGCCGCTGGGGTCCCTCCCACACAGGTCATCCCTCCTTGCACTACCCAACAGCAAGCCGACCACACAGGCAGAAAACAGGCTACACTGAAAGGAAAAAAGCCATTTGCTCTCAAAAACAAACTGGTTTTGATGCCTTTAATTTAATGGCATGTACCTTCACAGATGTACAGAAACTGGCACTAAAAGGCAGAGCTCTTAGAGAAAAGTGGGGTTCACACTTAAAAGTATATTAATGCATACTTGCAAGATTCTAATATAATTAAAAATCTTTCAACATAATAGTGCTTACACAATGATTCTTAAATATTTAAGAACCTTCCAGAACACTGTAGAAACAAAACATAAAACCTGCTCTTAAAAATGTGTTCCCCATGAACACATTTCCTCAGTCTGATCCTTTTTGAAAAGCTTAACTATTTGTTCAGGTATCAGAAAAATCCATGGTATCTAGTGCTGCACACTCTAGGCAGCAGCTAAGTATTTGAGGACAGTCTAGATAAGCACAGTTTCAAGAGCTCCATCTGCTTCTCTAGTTGTTACAAAGAAAGTGGCATCAAAGTGTACCAAAGGTGCAAACGCCCTGAATTCTCATACTCGTTTCTGCACTGGAGAGATAATTCAGAAAATGCCTCTCTGACACCAGCCATTTCATACATGCACAGTTAAAGCTATTTCCTTCCAGCCCAGCATCTCCTCTGGAGGAGGTGCAGGCACCTCTGTCCCTGCTCACGGGCACTCGGATGTGGGGAGCCCGAGAGCTGCCACGGCACCTGCTGTGCAGCTGCCACACAGACACCCACCTGCATCACTGCCCTTCTCTCCCTGAGCACCTCACAGCCCGGGCCAGCTGTCACACTGCAGCTTCCCACCACAAATTAATTACAAGGCACAACATCAAATCCTGCTTTCTTTATAGGAAGTGTCATTTCAACATCAAATTTTCCATTCTTACCATGGTCTGTAAGTTCAGACATGCAGAGCTGACTTGTCTCCCTTCCACTTGGTTCACCATGTCCTACAGACACACAGTTACATGCAGTGACTGGCTGAGAGTGAATCTGGGGTTTTGAAGTCTGCTCCTCAGATTCCTGAGTTGAACAAAGCCACATGGAGAAACAGGCATAGTCAGAACTTTGCTAGAACTGGGCAGGCTTACCTGCTGCAGCAGACAGCTTAAAAGCAAAGGGCAGCTTACACTGGGAGTCATTCCTAGACTTCATTCTTACTAAAAAGCCAGTCAAAATGTTAATATTCTTAACTAATCAAATGAAAAGAACCCACAGCCATGCCAAATTAAAGCATTTAGAGGATTACAACTCTAAACTTAGCTTGAAAATGAATGTATTTTGAAGTCTAACGTCACACAGACCATTAGGAAGTACATTTCAGAGAGCAGATTTATATTTAAGGGTGACTTAATAAAAGAAAATTGTGCAATGAATAGAGAGGTTGTTGAACCATATCTAAATAACTGAATGTACTTTCCCTCATCACAGATCCACAGTTCAGCAAAGCAGTGCAGAGTTTGAATTGCTTCCAAACTGTTAGTCTCAGAAGAGGACTATGCTCTAATGCTAAAGACAGTGTGTGGGGAACAGAAAAGTGCTGCACACCAGCTGTGGAGAAAGGGGGCCCCTGAAACCACAGCCCCCACTTACACCCAGGCCATCGGCGTGCAGCTGCCCGACGTTACGGGCCCTGAGTTCTTGCATTCTTTTGATATTTTCTTGATATTTTTCTTCTGCCAGCTGTCTGTAAATAGAGAATACTTGTGTTTAGGATGTGGTATCAGGGAGCCCACAAAGGGATCTTCTAAAAGTAGATGTGAAAACCAAGTTCCATCATTAGACTCCCACGGTGGCAAGCGTTCACAGCATCTGCTCCAGGTGAGCCTGGTTTCAGTGAACTGACAGAACAAGCCTTATTTCAAGCCTTGCCTCCAAACCCTGTGATGGTTCCTTCACCACGCAGTGCAGGACCTGGCAGCACCAACAGGCACACAAGGCTGGCGTGCTGTGCCCACGCCACCCGGGGAGCTGCCCCGTGTCCCGGGCAGGGGTGCCTGGCCACGGCTGCTCCCCACAGCTCCCCCAGCCCCTCGCTGTGCTCCCTGCCCAGCTGCCTCTGAAAAGCACCTCTCCAGGCCAAGGAGGTACCAGCTGTGCTTGGTTTCAAATGCTTTCAGTCGGCCAGCTGGCAATAACCCAGATGTGAGTATGGATCCATTTTAAAGATTCATGGCTGCAGACACATGGCCTTCCACTGTTTCTCGTGTTCCACTCAGAAGCAGTGCTTATTCTCCTTCCAATCCCCCCTTTTATTGTGCTCCACTCACTTAACCAGACCCCATAAATCACAAAGCCTTTATAACACACCCGTTACCAGCGTTTGACAGGACTGGACCCCGAGGTATCCACTCCTGTTCCCAAAGCTCCTCAGCCAAAGCAGCTGACAAAAGCTGGGTTGCAACCCTTCAGGGGATAGCCTGAAGACCCTTCCCGTTTGTGTGTCACCCTGGGGGTTGTACCTCCCTCGTCACAGTGCTGGATGGGGAGGAGGGCAGCTTAGGGCACCACGCTCCACTCACTTCAGCTTCTTGGCTCCCTCATCAGCAGCATTTAACTTCCTCAGCCTCATTCGTTCCCGTGGTGTCATCTTCTGCACTTCAGACAGTCCCTGCAGAGTTTGCAGATGAACTCTCCTCTGCCTGAAATTGAATGCACACAAAACCACCTTCGTATAGAAATGTCAAGAACAGTATTTTGATTTGATATTGAAACATAGTGATATTTCAGATGGAATAATTAGAAAGTCACAGGTACTGTAACAGGCTAAACAGACTTCAGTCTGGAAAGCAAATGCCTGTCTTCAATTGAAATATTGAAGCTTAGACTTAGATTCATGAAGAATGTGAATCATTTCAGGTGAGAATGGAGACAGGTAAACTCAACTCCTTAAAAGAATAAATGTTGAAGCACAGTGAAATATTTACCCTGTCAGGCTTCATTACTGAGCATGTTCCAAATACAAAGACAGTCTTTAAATGAGCACCACAGAAAAAAAGCAATATTGCCATGTATTTTACATTGATTATTACAAGCTGTCCAGAATAAAAGAGAATACTAATGTTTCTTTAATGACAGATATAATTAGCATGTTGTCCTCTGAATTTCTGGTCCTGACCAATACTAACAACTCACCAGTAAAATGGTCTCCACAGACCATGTCTGCAAGCTGAGCATGAATTATTGACAGATGCATCTCAGCTGTATTTATCAATATGTGAAAGCAACACTAGTCCTGAACTGGAAAAAGGATAATAATCTCAGATTTTTATCTCACATCCTACAGCAATTACAAAGATTAAACTATAGTTTTAAATGCCTTGGCAGTCATTTTTCACTTACACACGTATATATTTATGACACCATTTATTTAGGATACCAAGTTCATATTAATTTCAAATTTCTATTTTTGCTCTTATGAGATAAATTGACTTCTGAACCTCTATGAGCCCAGTTTTGTAACTATATGAATTGTAACACTCCTTCTGGACTATCATTTTGAAATCAGGAATTTAATAAATGAGAAGAGAACTTTTCATTATGCTTTTCAAGTGTTGACTACAGAGGGAAATAGTGTAAAGTTATGAACATCAGTGTGAAATGTGAAAGACTAAGGACAAAGCCAAGGAGAGTTCAATTATTAATAAGAATGGAACTAACTCTTCAAGTATGAATAATGTAGACATATTTCTTGTCCCCTGTAAAAACCTCTAATTTAAATTATAAGAATCTCTTGGGGGAAAAAAAAGCCATTTTTCATCCAAGTTGAAACTGAACTTGTACAACTTTATGCTTACTTAAATACTTAAAAAGTATGACTTGTGTGGGACTGGAATAAAGTAAGCCATTAGAGGCTTTAATAGAAGAAACTAGTCATAGAATCACAGAATGGCTTTGGTTGGAAGGGACCCCAGAGACCATCTAATCCAGCCTCCCTGCCATGGGCAGGGGCACCTCTCAGCTAGACCAGGTTGCTCAAGGCCTCATCCAGCCTGGCCTTGAACCCCTCCAGGGAGGGGCATCCACAACCTCTGGGCAATCTAGTCCAGAGTCTCAACATCCTTGTACAGAAGAACTTCTTCCTAAAATCTAGTCTAAACCTGCTCTCCTTCAGTTTAAAACCACTTCCCCTTGTCCTGTCACTGCACACTCCTGTGACAAGTCCCTCTTCAGCCTTCCTGTAGGGTCCCTTCATGTACTGAAAGCAGTTCTAAGGTCCCCTCAGAGTCTTCTCCAGCCTGAACAATCCCAGTGCCCTCAGCCTGTCCTCACAGCAGAGATGCTCCAGCCCCTGGACCAACTTTGTAGCCCTCCTCTGGACTCGTTCCAACAGATCTATGTCCCTTTTAACTTTATGTCCTTTAGTCTCAACAATACATGGCAAAAATAACTCCTGGTGAGGAAAAAAAAAAAAAATGGTAAGTGTAAAGTAGCACTGATTGAGGAGGGCACCAGCAGAGCTGCCAACAGGGCCTCCCCACGGGCAGAGGGCACGAACAGCAAGCAGGGAAGGGCCCGTTCAGCCCCAAGGCATTGCTGGCTCTGGACTGGAGCAGGAGCAACTTTGCTGCTCTGACCTAGCAACTCAAAAGATGTGTCAGAGTTCTGCCAAAGCCCTGGCACTGTCTAGGGCAGAGGGACGTGCCCTGTGCCCAGGCAGCACAGGGGTGGGTTGCCAGGGTGCCCAGGGAGCCCGGGGGCAGGACGGAACGGAGCGGGGCCGGCTGCCAGCTCCACACAGCTCATTCAAGGGCAAAAGGAAGCTGCCCCTGCTAACGTTTGCTTTAACCATGGCACCATTGTAATTTAATCCAGTTAACTCATTTAATATAGATTCAGTGCCTCAAAAAAGATCCTAGGCAAAGGTACAATTGATGTAGGAGCCAAGAAACATCAGTAGCTTTTAAACCTTCACTATAGCTACAAGAGATCTAGAACAGTATCCTGTGGCCATATCAGGTGATCCTTGGTTTAAGCATATACACTTTTAGTTTGCTGCCACTTAGGAAATACAGCTTTCACATTCAGTCATTAGCAGGTACAGCAGCACTATAAAGGATCACGACAAGGAAAATGATGATCTAAACCCTCATACTGCACAGACAGTGATTTACACACCTGTTGGGGCTGAGCTAACGTGTGCAGGTACTACACAGGCATGCACAATCTACACAGCCCTACAAGAAGAATATTTGATCTGCAAAGACTAATTCCCCCAAATCTTAACTATGCATCTCACTACTGTGGATGCTCCTCTGTATTTCTGGGGAGTGGGTCCCTCTGATCACGAAGCACTGTGAGATGAGCTCAGGTGTTTACAACACATTATTATTTGGCAATGCTGCAATTTCATGTACTGCTGCCCATAAAACACTTAAAGATACTTACACAGCATCAAAAATGGGAGCAGCTCCTTTCTGCCCAGCAAGTGCCTTGTCTTTCACCACCATGTTTGTGAACTTGTACTGTATGTTCTGCAAGGAAATAAAGTGAAGTAGTACCAGCACTTGAGGCTGCAGTGATCCAGACTTGTCAGCTATGACCCAATGCCCTAATATAAAAACTGACCATGTGCTTTCCTTCCCCACCCCCAGACGAAGCCAAGTGACAGACACAGGGAAGCAGGGATGAAAAGAGCAAGATGTATTGTTTTTCATTAACACTGTGACTAACCACCACAGTTTAGAGACCACAGGTACCCAGGCCCAAATGATCTGCCCTTGTTACACAAATGCCCATTCTCCTTATTGCTTCTCACTTTTGGAAGGGGGGAATACATTCAGTGTGTACAGTGACAAGGGCTTCATTTCTCACTGCCTTGCTACCTCAGTGCTATTTGTAATTTAGCCCTGAAAGTTTCTTGGATTAACGTGCCCATGAACTGTCATTTAATGACTTTTCTCAACACATTTCTCTGCTTCCATTCTGCTTTTGCAGAACAGATGCTCAAGTGCCAAGTGAACAGCTACCACTTTTACTTACAGACCTTCAGCTGTTCATCAATATAAGGCATTTTTAGGATCTCTGCTGCCGCAGGTCTCAATGAAGGATTCTTATTTAACATGCTGAAACATTAAAAAACAAAAGTAATAATTAAGTGATTTTTCCAATTTAACTTAAAAACCTGCTAAACAAGAAAATAAAATACCTGCACAGCACAGCATTCAGTTTGCTTGGGTATCTATCAGGAAGAGAAGGTGTATCACCTTCTACAATTTTTAGCACAACAGACAAAAAATTGTGTCCAGTAAATGCATGGTTCATACAGCACATCTCATATAAAATACATCCTAGAGACCTGGAAGAATAAAAGAATAGGAATAGCACAAACAATATGTTTGAAAGTAGCATGCACAGTGACATCACAGGAATCAAAATCCCAACTGTATGCCCTTTTCTCCTCGAAAGAGGACATATCATTTTCAGGCTATGCCTTCCAGCTGAAACATTTTTATTCAGATCACAAGTTAGTAACTTCATAAAGAGGAGAAATCATCATTCTGTTCTCATGAGTGCAGGCACAAACTTGAATTCCTTATGTAAGTACACACATATAGAGAGAGATGTAAAAATAAAGTAAAACCCTATTACATGAACTACCTTAAGTGGTTACTCATTAAATTAAGAATTAAGTTTTTTAGTTGGAGACTGACTGAGAAAATAGTTTAGCAGTGTTTGGACATAGGCTTATTTAAATTGGGCTTGTACATCTATTTCTGACAACAAACAGGCTAAAATTCAAGTTCAAAATAAATAATGCCAGTTTCAAAACATGGAATTGTCTTCTGGTGCAATCTGGCAACACACTCAAAACAGATTATGAAAACAGTCTGTACTGAAACACCAAATTTTAGATGAGAGCATCATATTGCAATGCCTAAAACTAGATTTCCTCAAAATTTTATTTAGAGAGGAAAAGAAATCTTGACGTGTAGATCTGGAGATCTGGCAATGCCCCTGGGTCGTGTTTCAGTAGTTAAAACCTCAGGAGGAATGGTTACAAACCATTTTAAACAGGCCTCTGGTTCACCACCAACCTATTTACCAGGCTCTTAGTCACCAGTCCCCATGGAGATCATAAAAGATCACCAAACTGAACATTTTATGAGAAATATTCTCATAATAATTTATATGACGATTACTCATAACAGTTTGCACTTCAGCTGGGCTCTGTCTGAGAATTTTTTAAAAACCAGGGGAGCTGGGCTGTTCTGGCTCTGAAGGAAGCTGGGCACTGCCTCCAGCTTGCAGCCAGGAGAACTGAGCCCTGGGGAGGGACTTGGCCAGGGTCACAGGCCATGCTGGTGAGAGCAGCTACAGCACCAGACTCCTCTGAATCACCCACTTACACTTCACAGCAACTTAACTCTTAAAGTGGTGTTTGTAATTTACAGAAGCAGTATGAAAGTAAAGCATAGTAATGGTAAGTAGGAGTAGTGTAGGTGAATGGCTTTGATGAAAAGGGTGTAAACTCTATCTTTGAAAGCAAATAACAACTGATTTTTCAATTATTCCTTTTGGTTAAAGAAGACAAATAGGTTTGGTCCATCTGGCAATAGAAGAACAAGAGCAAATAACTTTAAAGCTGAAACTCAGGCTCTATGTACAATGCAGATAAGAGAGAATGGGGGGAGCTTGCTCACTGGTACTTTTCAAGCAGCATGTAAAAACAATTACCAGAACGTTTTTTAACAACTGCATGAAGACCAACTACTGATGTACATAAGTAATTGCCTAGTTCTTTCAAGATTTAACTGTCAACCAGCTTTCAAACTTCCAAAATCAGCAAACAGTAACACACAGATGATGATCTGTATGTATGATGTACATTCAAACTCTGAAACAAGATAATTAGTACATGAGAAAACACTTAAAACCAAGAAGAACAATGACAACAAAAAAAAAACCCTGCACACATGGCACCTGAAAGCATCAAAGAAAAATGGAAACCAGCCAGAGGGAAGAAAAGAGGAAGGAAAATCCCAACCTGACAGACTGCACTGTTACTGCCTTTTGCAGAATCCATCTGTTTTGGAGGCTGCTTGATTCTGGCAGCTAGAAATTGGTTAATGAGCCATTAAGGAGCATGCAATTTGCCCCATGGGAGGAGCCCATTTGCTCATCTCGTGGAGCACTCTGACTGCACCTGAGGCTTTGGAGAAGGATGAGAAGAACACCCAGGGCACCCTGCTGCAGCCAGGGCCAGCGGCCCAGGGCAAACCCCATCTGTCCCACAGAAGAAAAACCAAGGGGAAAAATAAAAAGCAAAGAAAAAGAATAAAGTTTTTGCTGCAGGCTGCAGCTCTCTGGAATGAACTAACACCTCCTGAGCTGAGCGATGCCCGGGGTGCAGAGCAGGGCAGCTGCTGAGCTGTGACTGCCCGCAGGAGGCACGGCCCAGCCCCTGCCTCCAGCCTGCTCTGCTCGCTCCTGCTCCACCAGGGGATGGCTTCCCAGTCCCCTCAAGCAACCTGCACACGACCCAAACCTATCATTTAATTACTTTATAATCTCAGCTCGTTATCTCCGCCAGTGTTACAAAACTCGGGAATGGCCATTAAAGTTCACAGCCAGAGCATTTGGTTTGGTGGCTCCCTACACTCACCAGTAGCTTGACAAAGGTCCTAAACAGCTCTTCAGCAAAACTGATGTATGGCCAGTTCGTGCTGAAGCTTCTCAGGCTCAATTCTATCACAAAAAGAAGCATCTGGACAGGCCTCACTGTAATTCTCTGCAGCATCAACTGACAGACCTCTTAACTTCTTCTCAGGAGGAACCACCCAGAGGGTTTTGGTGCTAATTGTTTCCATAAGCATTGCTGACATCTGATCTTCTGTAGCTCTTTCCAAACACCATGTTACAGTTCCTCAAAGGCTGTGAGAACTGAGTTAGCTTTTAAATTAAACTCCAAAAGCCAGATAATGTAAATGCATATACCTTTGTGGCTTATTTATCTGTCTGATCATACTAAAAGGTCTTAAGAACTTACTGACTCCAGAGCCTATAAGGAACATGTACATCTACACACAAACCAGCACAACTCTCTCAGCCACTGCTTTTCAAGTCTTTGCTGCTGTTACTACTATTTTTGCTAACTATTCTACATAAAATTTGGCAGTAAAAAAGTAATCCATTTTGGGAGTGTTAATATTAAAGAAAAAGGCAAACTGGGGTAAAAGCACAGAGAAGCAAGCACAATTAAAATGAAAGTCCCAAGATCTGTGGTGAATTGGGAGGAGAAGGTGCTTTTTTCAGTTACTTTGTCAATTTTAAAAGGGTGACCAACTCACCATCTATAAAAACACTGGACCAAACTCTGCTCTCATGTACTCTCTACAACTTCAATGACTTATATGGATTGACATCTGTAACCACAAATAGAACTTAAAGATGTATTTTACATTCCATTTCAACTGCAATAAAAGAAATTATTCTTTACAGCTAAAGAGCACAAAAGGTAGGTTTCTCTGTCTGTTCATTTGTTTTGACAGCTTTTGAAATTGTCTCTCAATTTATTTTTATTGACTACATGTATGAACTGATACTTGTTTTGATACAGATGAAGAAGAGAGAATCTGACATCGAATCCCTCTCAGCTCAGCTCTACAGACTGTGAGATGAGGTTCCTGACACATCTGTTGAGGGTTGAACATGATAACTGTGAAAAAGGGATCCTAACACTTGAAAGGACAAATGACTGTTCTCAAGTTTCACATTTATATCCTGCAGTCACAAGTATCATGTGAAAAGGCAGGACTGGACTCAATGATCTTAAAGGTCTTTTCCAATGAAAACAGTTCCATGATTCTATGAACTGAGCAGAAGCTAGAATAAATTATCAAGTAGACAGACTACATTCCAGTGGCCAAATGTTTTATGAAGGAAATTCCATCATTTGAAAATTCATAAACAAGAAACCTTCAGACACGCATACCTACAGAAAAAAAAACAACACTTAAGAGAATAAAAATGACCATTTTATATAAAAATACTAGGGCAATTAAAAAACACAATAGTTTTACCTATCTTCTCAAAGGAGAGAGGATATCTTCTCAAGATGTTTTAGGGCATACAAACAAGCCAAATATCTCCCCCATTCAAAAAAACCCCATTCTTAATCTTAGCTCCCAAGAATACCTGCACACCTAAAGATTTCCTGAAGTTTTTCAAGAGATCTGAGATTGACAGCTTGATTCTCTAACCATGACCTCATTAAGTCTTGATCTCAAGAACCTGTACCATCTAAGAGCAGAACTGACACTTTTCCTTCTACCTTTGAGCCTCTTCTAAAACAGAGTGCCTGTTTGCTTCTGTCCTGACACTCCAGTTACTCTCCTTTTCAGCTGCTCTTCCAGGTACCTTTTTGCATTTGCCAGTGTCTTTCAGTTCAGTCCCTAGGAAGGTCCTTCTGCTTCCCAGAACAGCAGCACACTATGTGCTTCTTAACACAAAGTGCAAACTTTCAAACTGCAACGTGCAACACAAACGTCCTGGGATAGCTGTAGTGGAGTAGTGTGAGCACACTGCCGAGAAGGGAAAGAAAAATAGCTCCTAAACAATGTCAAATGCTGGCCTAGAAAATAAATGCCTCATCCAGCCAAAACAGCACACTGAGTACTCACCAAATGTCAGACTTTGTGTTATATCCCTGGTGCTTCAGTGCCTCTGGACTCATGTAGTGTGGTGTCCCAGCAAATGTCGTTGCCAGGTCACAGGAGCCCATCAACAGGCGAGAAATGCCAAAGTCCCCTAAAAGTGACAGCAGGAACAATAAGCTATTCCTATAAATCTCTATCTAGTCATATAAACTTTGTGTTTATTGTTAGACATGATACAATGTCTGCACGTCCAAAAGAACTGCCAGGATTTTAAAATATGGACAAAACAATTTTCTGCAGTTCTTCAGAACCGTATCACCACAAACCCACAGAAGTGCAGAGCTCTGTCCCAGGAGGCCTCACCAGGTTCAGACTCCTGGCACAAGGCAGGGCTGAGCTCAGGGCCAGGGCCAGGGCCAGCCAAGCCTGAAGGGTCCTCCCGGGGAGATGTCCCTGCCTCTCTGGGCCCTGTTCCTGCAGCTGACTGTCCAACAAATGCTTGGCCGTGAATTAAAATGCTCTATCAGACATGACTTTATTTAAATCTCCTTATTGATAAAATGTTTGCTAGACTGCTCTATCATACTAAAATATATCATTAAAAACTACAGAAATCTCACCAATTTTAAGAAGGTTATTTTTCAAAAATATGTTCTTGGCTTTCAAATCTCTGTGAAGTATCCACCTGAAATAGAAAAGAAAATTCAACCTCATCCAGCTTGTAGCATTCACAGTCACGTATCCCAATAAGGGATGAGAAAAACAGCAACAAGAGACTCTCAAAGCTCAAGGAACTCTCCTTCAGAGAAAATGTATTACTTGAAAGACAAATATATACATAGACTAGGCAAGTCGTTCAAATTTTTACAGTAATAATGTGGAAGATAAAAGAACTTTACAAAGGCAGAGATCAAAAGGAAAAGACCAACTAGCTTTTACAGGCTTATTTTTCCACCAAAGGCTGAAACAACTACATCAGCTCCATGCCATGTGGGGACAAACAGCACCTTCTCCATTTTTTTAAATCTAAATTTTTCACTCGGCTCTTAGAAAAGAATGTGTCTAATACTGAGAGTCATTTACCACTGCAATGCTAGCAGATAAAATGCAGGATGTTCTTGCAGGATAGATAATTAATTACACTTTAGAGATAACCTATATACTACAGCATTTTAGTGAACAGGACTTTTTGCCAACAGAAGACAACCCATAGAGTTCTGTTTCTACTTGAGTATCTGCAACTAGCTCGTCAGCCTACTGACACCCCTCCCAAGCTGAATGCTCTCACATTAAATGACTGTACCTTTAAAGTCACATTAAATGACTGTACCTTTCATGCATGTAGTTGACTCCGAGTAACAACTGTATAAACCAGTCTATTATTTGTCTTTGGGTGAATATCTTCCCAGATTTTTTGTACTCTTGAATTTTAAAGTCTAGATCTCCACCCTGAAAAACATCACAACATATTTATTAATTTAAACTAAGTTTTTTAGACGTCTTCTCCCAGCCAACACAGGACAGGCCTTGGGCAGGGCAGCCATCTCTGCCCCACAGGGCAGGCCCAGGGGCAGCGCCGCC